CTCAAAAAGATATTTCAAAGGAGTGTGGCTACATACAGCTTTAGTTTCTAAATTTATGCAATTGAAACATGCCAGTGTCAGTTTTGTTATATTTTTGTTATAACATATATAATATGTTATGTAGCATGTTGTATAAGCATTGAATTTTGTACAAGTTGTTTATATGGCATCTGGCAGAGTAACAAATGGTAGATGATGCTATAGACAGAAAACGATGGCAGGAATATATTTTAAACTTAAAATTTGCTCATGCAAATCAGGCAAATCCCAATCTAATACCTTCTAAATGGAGTGAAGGATATTTCTCTCTGACTTCCTAACGGTCAGCTGTGCAATACATCATTAGTAGTGGAATCACAGAATGGCCAAGGTGGGAAGAGAGCTCTGGAGGTCGTTTTGTCCAAACTCGCTGTGCAAGCAGGGGCAGTTAGAGCCAGTTGCCCAGGGCTTTGTCCAGTTGCATTTTGAGTATACCTCAAGGGTGGAGAGTCCACAACTTCTCTGGGCAACCCATGGCAGTGTTTGACCTTTCTCACTGGAAAAAGGCATTTTCTTGTGTTCAGATGGAATCTCCTGTGGTTCGATGTGGGCCCACAGCTTCTTGTCCTGTCAGGGAGAGCTACAGAGCAGAATCTGACTCTGTCATCTTCATTCCTTTCAATCAAATATTTATTCACAGTAAGGAGATCCCCCCTGGGCATTCTTTTCTCTTGGCTGAACAGTCTGAGCTCTCTCAGCTTCCCCTTATATGAAAGATGCTCCAGACTCAGTCATCTTTGTGGCCACATGCTGAACTGGCTCCAGCCTCTTTCATCTACTGGGAAGCCCAGAAGTGGACACACCACCACAGGTGTTTCCAGTGCTGAGCAGAGACAAGGGATCACCTCCCTTGACCTTTGGCAAAGCTTTTGCTAGTGCAGCCCAGGATGCTCTTGACCTCTTTTTTTGCTGCAATGCTGTGTTGTTGGTCTTCAGTGTATATTGCTGTCTGAGATTATTCCTTCCCAGATGGGTGACTTGGTGTTTCCCCATGTTGAACTTCATAAGATTACTCTCAGCCCAGTTCTCCAGTTGCTTACGATCCCCCTGAATGGCAGCACAAGCATATATAGTCTGTCAGCCACTTCTCCTGGTTTTTATCATCTACAAACTAGCTGAGGGTGTATTCTTCTCCAGCATCTGCGTCACTGATGAAGATCTTAAACAGTACTGGCCACAGTGCTGAGCTGTGTTACCCAACTACTGGGGTGACTTGCCTCCAACTTGACTTGGTGCTGCTGATCATAGACTCTAGATGTGGCTGTTCAGCCGATTTTTAATCCACTTCACTGTCCCCTTACCTAACCAATACTTTTGTTAGCTTGTCTGTGAGGGTGTTATGGGAGGCAGTGTCAAAAGCCTTCCTGAAGCTGAGGTAAATAACGCTGCTCACTTTCTCCTCATCTGCCCAGCACTGTGGAATACCATCAGGTCAGTTAGGATGCTTTCCTGTTTGTAAATTTATGCTGACTGCCACTGGGCACCTTCTTCTACTTCATGTGTTTGGAAATGTTTTGGGAGGATTTTTTTCCATCACCTTTCTCAAGATTGAGATGGGCTCAGTGGCCAGTAGTTCACCACATCTTCCTTCCTGCCCTTCTTGAAGACGGCAGTCCAGAAACCTTTCCCAGTCCTGGTGACCTTTCAAAGAGAGTGAGTGGCCTTGCAGTGATGTCGGCCAGCTGCCTCTGCATTTGTGGGCACAACCTGTCAGGGCCCATGGACTTAAGTATTCCCAGTTTGTTTAAGTGCTCCATAACTTGATTCTCCTCCACTAAGGGTAAGTTGCCTATGCTCAAGACTTCCCCTCTGGCTGCAGGGGACTGGGATTCTTGAAGGCTGGTCTTTATGGTAAAGACTAAGACAAAGACAACATTGAATACTTTGGCCTTTTCCATGCTCTTTGTCACCAACTCCCTGCCCCATTCAGCAGAGGTCCTGCATTTTCCATATTTTTCCTTTTGTTTTTTTGCATACTTGGTAGAATCCTTTCTTGTTGCCCTTTGCATCCCTTCCCAAATTCAACTCCAGATCAGCCTTAACTTTTCTAACTCTGACTCTGCTCTATCAGACAGCAACTCTGTGTTGCTCCTGGGTCACCTACCCCCGATTACATCTCCTAGACACTTCCTTTTTAAGTTTTAATTCAGTTAGGAGCTCCTTGCTCATCCAGGCAGATCTCCTGCCACCATTGCTTGATTTTCTACTTTTTGGGGTGGACCTTTCTTGAACTTGAAGGAGGTGATCCTTGAAAA